TTATTTTATCCACATACAAAGAACAATAATACATTAGAAACCAATTATTTCATTTTTTTAAATCAATTATATTATTAATAAATTTTTTATCCCTTTTATAATGAATTTGCTTTTCTTTCCAGGTACAAGGAGAAATAAGACATCATATATCAAATATTTCGACTAATATTTCAAATGAACACAGACAATATGGCAATTTATATTTTTTGGAAACTGAACTGGCAAATCCACTTCGGTCTGTTGGTCCACAAAATCGAGCAGAATTAAATCGAGAAATCGTCGACCTCATCTCTAATTACTTGTACAATCACAATCCATTTGCTCAAGCATATAGATTTCTTAAGGATGTCTATCAATAACAACAACAAAGCAATCGTCATCCAACATTGGAATTGTACATCAATAACAACCGTGCTCGAGATATCAATTTCAGACAATATGGCGCGGGTACAGGCCAATGAAATAGCAGCCGTATTTATTTCTGAAGATGGGAGACCGCCCCTGGATCGTGCTTACATGTTTATTGTCGAGACAACGACCAGACTATCCACAAATTACCATATCTTAGTGTCAATTGCGATGCAATGACCTATCCTCTATTACATCCAAGAGGTGAAGCAGGATGGCAGTCTAGAACACCACATCAATATAGAAGAGGCTATATATCGTTACTGGAATATTATAGTTTCAGAATAGCTGTTCGACCAAATACCTTCAACCAATTTGTAATGGCAGGCAAGCTAACACAACAGTACATCGTAGATGCATACGTAAAAATCGAACAAAGTCGACTACAATTTATTACTGAAAATCAACCACGTATTAGGCAAGAAATATTTCAAGGATTAATCGACTATTTAGACTCTAGACAATTAGATGTTCATTATCAACCAGGAAATATTTTCATCCTACCGTCGACATTCATAGGAAGTCCACGCGCATTTAGACAAAACTATTTGGATGCCATGTCTATAGTCACAAAATACGGGAAACCAGATATTTCCTAACATTTACTTGCAATCCTGCATGGCCTGAAATCAGGAAATAACTTAGATGCAAATCAACATTCCTCAAATAGACCTAATTTTGTATCCAGAGTGTTCAAGAGCAAATTAAAGGAATTAATAGAAGATATTGATAAACGACATATTATGGGAGTTTATGTTGCTTACGTTTACGTAATAGAATTTCAGAAAAGAGGACTTCCGCATGCGCATATGTTGGACCCTGCAGCAATCGACCGTTTAATTTCAGCAGAATTTCCCGACCCTATCGCGCATGCCAACTTGCACGAATTGGTCAAAGTACATATGCTTCATGGACCTTGTACCAGTGCTCGATGCTTAGATGAAGAAGGATATTGCAGCAAACAATTCCCGAAATCTTTGCGTGAAGATACCTTATACAATCCCTCTGGATATCCGTTATATAAAAGACGGCCAATAGAAACACCTATACATATAGGTCGAAGAACGGTAGATAATAGTTGGGTTGTACCATATAACGCTTATCTACTTGAAAAATACGAAGCTCACATTAACGTGGAGGCTTGCTCTTCAATGAAAAGCGTAAAATATTTACTTAAATATATATACAAAGGATTTGATAGAGCTCAAATTGTCGTACGAACCGTGGAAGAAGACGGTCAAACAACAACTATCCAGGAACCTATGTACAACGAAATTCAAATGTTTCTGGACGTTCGCTATGTTAGCGCGCCTGAGGCGATGTGGAGGATTTATACATTCGAAATGCACGATATGTCTCATGCTATTATTAAACTCTTTGTACATCTTCCGAATATGCAACAAGTCTATTTTAATACAAATAGTACCATTCCTGACGTCGTAGAAAGGGCCGCAACACAACACACTACGTTAACAGGATGGTTCGCCTTAAATACCCAAGATGAAGAAGCTAGACAATACACATACGTACAGATACCTTATAACTATGTGTGGAAAATAACACAAACAAGAATCTGGGTAGAACGTCAACGTCATTTTAATCGTATAATTCCTAGATTATATTTTGTACATCCTAGAGAAGGTGAAAGATTTTATCTTCGTCAACGTCTTTGCATAAAACAGGATGTAGATCATTCGAAGACATTAGTACTGTACATGGCCGTACGTAGAAAAAAAAAGTTCGAACAGCCTAAGGTTATGCCCGCTACGTCATCACTTTATACCCTCTCCCTTGCGTCTATTGTACCCTATAAGAATATAGGAAATTGTTGTGACAGTCTCTGGTAAGATTTATGGACATCTGTTACCGCCCTCTTAATGTGGTCCAGTTCTAATCGTGGCGAATATTATATCGTAGAAAGCTTAAAAATGTATGTGGTCTTCAATGTCCAGAAATTATGTTGTTGTTGAGGCTGTTAAGGGACATCCCACTCTCAGTAAGCCATAGGCGGAACGTTTTTTAGTATGTAGATACGCAAGTTTCAGTCAGTTGAGATTGTTGACACAATTGCGATCTAATGAGACGTTTGTTCGATTTATTTATTTTTTTATTTATTAACCATATCATATTTTATATTTGATTGTGTTGAAAATTATTAATTTTATGGGGTTTGTGGATATTTGATGGAGATCCATAAATCAAAATATAAAATAGTGAGCAGGTACCTACATATAATAGACACACTATTGAAGGGTAAAACCCCAAAGTTGGCAAACAACTGAAAGTAATTAAATTAATCCTAAGACTGTGATCCGCTTATATCTATACCAATCATGAGATTTCCTAGAGTGCATCATTAGTACCTAGATAAATAGGCTAATACCAATATCAAACGTAGGTAAACAAAATTAGTAGAAACAAATCTAATAATAACAAGTGTAAAATTGAACTACCTGGAATAATTCCCGGTTGCTAAATCCCTTTGTTCGTAAGTAGCGTTAAGACGATGAGTGTTAATTAATCACATTTATTTTACCTGCAACAGATATATAAACCTGTCCGTTAGTCATAAGTTCAGTTTGTAAACTAATTTGAACAAGGCACCGTGTGTAAAAATTGTCAAATAGATTGCAATATAGTGGACATTTTTACTATTGTTCAAATTTAAATTATTAATAGTTTTGAACCAGTGATCTAAACAATGTCTGTGAAAGAGATTGGCGTGAAAGGAAAGGCGATTGGGAGTCAAGGAAAGGAAATTATCAACAATGTCAATAACTTCATGGTACAGGAAAGTGTAGAGGGATTAAAGTTTCCACTTCAACAATACCGGTATGTATGAATGTAAAAGATTTTTATAATTATTGTCAATTGAAACTGATTAACCCATCTAGGAAACGTGTGTTAGCTGCCACGGGTATAAGTAAATGTACTTATCAAAAAATAGCTAAAGAGAGCAGAGATGGAATATATTCAAGCAACTTTTCATTTTCATCCCCATCTAAAAAGCGGCAACGAAAATCACCTGTTGTGGATAAAGTGACTGCAGGCTAAATTGAAGAAATGAAAGCAATCATATACGATTTTTATATTTGGGAGAAAAGAAGACCTTCGCTGAAATGTAAGTTTTTAAATTGTAACCGTAGCATCTAGTCATATTTCATTTTAAGATTTTTTAGGTATTTACCAAAAAATGCAAGATCGACAACTCAATTTTGAGGGTAAAATAACGACTTTGAACGAACACTATAAAGTTTTTGATTTACAAACGCTATAAATATAATTTATATCTACAGATGGAAAAGAACTACTGAAAATAAAAAAGCTCTCATGGAAAAATATGAAATTCGCTTGAAGCGTATCGAATATCTGAAGCAAATTATGAAATATAGAGCTGAGAACAGGAACATAATTTATACGGATGTAACATATATACATTCTAGTCATACCCCAAAAAAAGGATGGTCAGATGACAATTATGACAAGGAACTAAAAACGCCTTTATCAAAAGGACAACGAATGATTATTGTGCATGCTGGTGGAGAATTCGGCTTTATTCCTAACGCCTTGTTGATATTTAAATCAGGTATTATTGTGTTACAATGATGTAAAATATTTCCAATATATTTTTACATTTACTGGAATATATGTATGTATTTTATTTTCAGGCTCAAAATCTGGGGACTACCACAACGACATGAATCATTTGAACTTCATGAAATGGGCAGAAAGCCAATTGATCCCAAATTTGCCTGAAAATTCTGTGCTTGTAGTTGACAACGCTTCTTATCACAATGTCCTGGAAGAAAAAAATGTAACCTCTTCTAGCCTGAAATCAGAGATGATTGACTGGCTAGAAAAACATCAAATTCCTAGTGAAAACTCATTGACTAAGGCCGAACTATATAAAAAATACAGGAAAATTTCCAGTCAAATACAAGCTAGATGCCTTAATGGAACAGCACGGGCATAAAGTTTTACGACTGCCTCCATATCATCCGGAGCTAAACCCAATCGAGAAGATTTGGGCTCTCGTAAAAAACTGGGTTGCTCCACGAAATGTGACATTTAGGTTGTCTGATGTGGAGCATCTGACCCGTAGCAGGTTTGAAGAAATTGGAGCAGATGAGTGGAAGAAAATTTGTAACCACGTGAAAAAATATGAGCAAGCACAAATGGAAAAAGAAAATCGTCTCGACGATCAAATGGATAATTATCAGTTCACTGTGAACACAGGGTCATCATCAGAAGATAGTGACGAAAGCGACTCAGATGAAGATTTGGAGCTAAACACACTATCATCTGATAGCGATTAGATTTTTTAATGATAATATATAATTTGAATTATAACCGTCTTTAGTTTGCTCCCTCTTCTAATTCAAATTTGCTTCCGAAAAACTTAATGCGCATACTAAATAATATAATAATACAAAAATCAATTAATGATCAATGTCTACACAACCTATTCACTTTATTTTATACTTCAAATAAAATAGAACGCCACTGCGCTCTATCGACGACCGCGTGATGAGCGGACCCGCCCACGATGACGTAGCGGTCATATTCTAAGAGCGTTCGAACTCTACGAAACGTTCCGTGACGCTGCTATTGCGATGAACCTTCTCACGGATGATAGTATTTGGTTCACCATGTTGCAAGAAGCTATACACGTACAACTTCCACGAGCTCTTCGTCGTATGTTTTCACAGATGTTGCTGTTTTGTGAAATCGAAAATCCATTAGCATTGTGGGAACAATTTAAATATCATTTATCTGAAGATTATATACGACGCTTAAATGATAACGACCTAGCCTACAACTATGCCTTGGCTTACATCAATCGATACCTAGCACTACAAGGTTAATATTTCTATCAATAATTACTTTTATTAATTCATTTAAAATTGATACTTATGTTTTCAAATACTTTTTTTATTTCACATTTTTTAAGCATATTGAAATCATTTATTTCCGTATTAGAAAATTTTTGAATTTAATCACTTTATATGTAACAGTACTGTGATGTAATATGAATTCAATATTTAATATATTTATCGCTATTAATTTAACACAACATAAGCATTTATGTTCCAATCAATTTCAGATGAATACAAAATTATATACTAAGTGACATATAAATCCGAACACCCAGTTTAAATGGTTTTATTTTAATAAAATTTTGTATAAGTACTTAATGAAGCATAATAAGTAAATGATAAAAATTTCAAAATGATTGCACTGCTTTAAAGCCCTTTGACCTTTAATAATATGTGGATGCACCCTGATGTGCTACGCATTCTCCAACGCGCCTAGGCATGCTTCCGATCAGGTGGTCAATGTCTTCCTGTGGTATCTCATTCCAGGCAACCACCAACTCCTCTCGAAGTGCTTCTAGAGTCTGAGGAGGACGTTGCAAATTGAGCAATCTCCTACCCATCATATCCCACACGTGCTCAATTGGGGATAAGTCGGGAGATCTTGGTGGCCATGGTAACAATGTGACATCATTATGTTGAAAGAAGTCTATTGTGACTCTTGCAACTTGTGGTCGGGCATTATCTTGTTGGAAAGTTGGACTTGCCAGGGTGTCAAGATAGGGTAAAAGATGGGGTTCTAGAACTTCGTGGATATAACGCTGCGCGTTCATGTTACCTCTGATGAAGATTAAAGGTGACCTGGAACCATAAGCTATAGCACCCCAAACCATAACTCCAACAGTGTGATGAACATGTCTTTCAACAAAAAACTGTGGATTCCTCCTTTCACCACGTCGCCATCTAACCCTGGCACGACCATCGTGCATGCCTAAACAAAATCGAGACTCGTCACTAAAGACAATGCTGTTCCATTCCTGATCCCAGAGTGACCGTTGTCTACACCACTCAAGGCGATTACGTCGGTGTTTTCGAGTTAAAGGGAGGACCCAGTGGGGCCGGTATGAAAACAAGCCAAAACTTCTCATTCGTCGGTAAACACTTCGCATGCCAATAGGTCTTCCGTGTTCTGCAAACCATTCATTTGCAATGGACCTGGTAGTGGAGAAACGGTCCCTTAAGGCCAATTATCTTAGGCGGCGATCTTCACGGTCTGTTGTTCTCGAAGCCATGCCTGACAACACCTAACTACAGTGTCTACACTTCTTTGCACTCTAACTGCAATTGCCCGAAAAGAAAGTCCAGCTTCCCGAAGTCCCACTATACGGCCCCTATCAAACTCACTAGTTGACGAAATCGTACAGGTCTGCGTACTCTAGGCATCGTAACCGATCGTAAAGGATGTCAAGAACCAAAATCCGCCAACGTTGATTCTTTACTGCGGCTGAAATATTCATTTTTAGAGCGTTAGTGAATTAAAAAAAAGCAGTATAAAAACCAGAATGTCCAACTGATCACTTGTTATTTACAGTAAGATAAATACATTCACCAACTTTTATTAAAATAAAACCATTTAAACTGGGTGTTCGGATTTATATGTCACTTAGTATATTAAAACTATATTATGATAAGTAATTACTCAATATAATTATAAAATGTTTATACAACTACTTATTACATTTTTATTTTAGGCAAATCAAACAGAGACTTTCAACTGCTCTTACCCACTGAACCAGTAGAACACCTAATCGAAGATGAATACGATTATGATCAATCAGAAGAACAAGAAATTGCTAATAGGAACATTCCCCTTTTAAACCAAGAGCAACGACGTATTTTACCGATATACTTTTAGCCGTAAACGAAAATGAAAGAGTTTCACATCGTCTTTCTTTATTAAGGGAATTGGAGGTGCAGGAAAAACATTTCTATTGAATACACTACTGACTTACCTACTAGGAAATAATCACCGTTACATTGCTATCTGTTATACAGGTATCCCAGCCAGCTTACTGAAAAATGGCCAAACGATTCATCCTGCTTTTATGTTACCGGTTCCATTTCTAGAAATTCAACGTCAAGGATTCGCAATCAGAGTGCGATTGCTGATAATATTAGATATTCAAAAATTATTGTCATTGATGAAATATCGATGGTACATAAAAGTATATTAATGAAATAGGTAGGAAGATAAGAGAAATAATGAACAATGACATTCCACTTGGCGGCAAGATTATTATAATTCTAGGCGATTTCAGGCATGCGCACCTATCGTTCCATTGGCCGGCAAAAATGAAACTATTTCTGCATCAGTGAAATGTTCCCACTATGGCAACACTTTGTTAAGTACGATCTTCTTACGAACGTTAGAGCACTGCCACAGCAAAACGATTCAAAGATTGGCTCATGACCATAGGAAATAATTCCGAAATTTTACGTCACTTAGAAATGGCAGAGATACTATAGTCAAAGTTCCTAACCATATTATTGTAGAAAATGTTACTGAAAGCATTTACGGTAGCAATTTAATTGAACACGATTTCCGTTAAACATTCATGTGAAGGATATCAATGCAGTTGTTTTAGAAAAACTGCCAGGCAGATCACGACAATATATAGTGTTGATAGTATTATCCGAGAAGACGATACAACTGAAAATGCTGCTGATGATTTAGATTCCGCATGTCCACAAGACTTTTTAAATTCTTTGATGCTCCAAGACTTTCTCCCCACATTCTTACACTAAAGATTGGTGCAGTTATCATTTTAACGAAGAATTTAGATCTAAAGAGAGGTTTATGTAACGGCACACGCTTATTGATTCATAATTTACACGAAAATTTTATAGAAGCAAAACGAGTAGAAGACCCTAATAATGAACCTTCGATCGAATTAATTTCCAGAGTTGACAACATCGCTCTAAACTCTCTTGATCTACGAGTCAACTTGAAAAGGAGACAATTACCTGTACGTTTGGCTTTTGCAATGACATTAATAAAAGCCAAGGTCAAACTTTGAGCAGTGTATGAAATCTTTTTCTCATCGATAAGGGTAACATCTTATAACATAGCTTCTGAAAATCAGAGAACTACAGGGTGATTCTTAATGGTTGGGGGCAATCAATGTGCCCATTGATAATTTTGTGCTAGAAAAGTAAGGCAAATTCCATGCTGAATCTTTCAAAAGAAGTCATACCTTTCTAATGTGTTATATGAAAAGACCAGTGTTATCAACAAAGATACCCTCATATTACGAAATTTGATATTAAAAATATTATATACTCTGTATATTTCCAACTGAATATGTAAAGCATGGAGGTCTTTTCTACATTTTTTGCAGTTATAACTGGGGACAAGTTAGAACAGCAATTTTTTTATATTACATAACCTTCGCTATGTGCACCAATATAATTTTATGTTGAATAACTGTTAATAATGCTTAATATAACTACTATTAAAATCTATATTGTTCACATATGATGGGTGTTATAATATATATGTAGACATACTTTAACCATCGAATCCTTGGTCAATTGATAACGAAATTTCCATATGAACATGGATCCGCAACAGCTTTGTTTTCAACCTAAAGCATATTAGCACAAAGAAATATTGATGTTCTAAGAAATTATAAAAGAATGGAACATATTTGGTGTGGTGAATATCACATGATTACAGTTGTTTTCAGATCCTCCATGTACGTAGATACGGATAATGTTATCCAGTGTTTTTGAAAAAATAGCATGACAATGATTTGATTTAACAGGTTGACTGCAGGAAAAAAATTAAAAAATATCATCTGGTGCCAAGTTGAAAATAATACGCCTGATAGTATTCTGTAAGCATGCTAGTAACTTATTCCTCCCAATTTTTCAAAATGCAATGAAAATTTTGCAAAATGGTTTAGCGGTCTTATACGCCCGCTCGGGCATGGACGGCATATATATGCCCTCCATGCCCGAGCGGTCGTATGAGCGGTCGTTTCTTGCGAGTTTGAACTCGTCTCTACGTTATGTTACAGTCGGGATTAGCAAGCGCGCACACTCATTTAGGGTTAGGATGCATAGAACGCTGAACGCAACAAGCAGCATAGTGAGTGCATTAGTTTTCAACTCTAAAAATGAGTAGCCGATCTAAAAAAATTGTAGAATTGGCCCTTCAGATGGAGGAGCATACAGGTAAGATTTTATATGAATATAGAATTACATTCTACGCAATATTGTTGCAAATTTAGTGGTTTTTGCTAGTAAATCGTAGTAAGTTCAGTTCATTTATTTACAGATGATGAAAGCGATTCGGATCCTTTCAGTGCAGTTGATTCCGATTTGGATCCTATGTTTCTGCCATCTAGTAATGACGAACTATCTGATAGCTCTGACATATCTCTTACGGAAATAATAGGACAGAAAAAGAAATTTACAAAAACGACAGGGAAAGACCAGAACAAGTATACAATTTTGAGAATCAACCGTGCTGTTCAAAATCACTTCCAGTGGCCGAATTTCAAGAAGCTGGGGTACAAAATGAAGACGGGACACAGAATCTCAATGTTTCATCGACTGAAACTGGAGACAATCTTGAAAACGTGTTAGATGAGGAAGAAGCTGCTGACCAGAATGAACACACTTGGAGAGAGCCTGTGGGCAATCACCAAGTGTTTGATTATTCTGCCGAAAGCGGTTTACACGCAGGTTATGCTGCAGTTCTTATCAACAATTTATCTCCATACAGCTGCTTTCGTTATTTTGTCGATGATGAAATCATAAATGAAATGGTAAATCAGACCAATCTATATGCAACCCAAGTTTTGTTCGAAGCTGAGGATGTGAGTAGAGAATCAAGGTTACATCGTTGGGTTCCAACCGATAAAGGTGAGATGCTAAAATTTATTGGCATGTAGCATACATGGGCATGGTTAGGATGCCATCATTAGAAAAGTATTGGAGTACTGACGAACTTTTCCAGATATCTATTATTCCAAAAGTTATGTCAAGAAATAGATTCCAGCTGCTCTTACGAATGTGGCACTTCTCTGATAATAACGACTGTCCAGAGGGTGATCGTTTGCATAAAATCAAACCTTTATTGGATGCGTTGGTGAAGAAATTTCAAGAAATTTATACACCTGGTAGAACATTTTGCATTGACGAGTCTGTTGTTCCTTTTCAAGGCCGTCTCCTATTCAAACAATACATTCCAAACAAGACGCATAAATATGGCGTGAAATTGTTCAAACTGTGTAGCGATAATGGATACACATGGAATATAAGAATATATGCTGGCAAAGAAAAACAAGAGAGAGATGCGTCTGTGGGAACAAATATTGTGCTTAAGTTGTCACAAGACTTACTTGATACAGGTAGAACTATTGTTGCCGATAATTACTACACCAGTCTCGAGCTAGCGAATATACTTTTCGACCATAAGACACATTATATTGGTACACTAAGAGCAAATCGGCGAGGCAATCCAAAGAAGTTATTCTGAAAAAACTAAAGAAAGGCGAAATTTTGGGCTAGAAAATGGCAGAGGTGTGTGTGTGCTGAAGTGGAAGGACAAGAGAGATGTCCTTCTTCTATCCACTAAGCATACCACCGAAACCGTAGATGTTCAACGACGTACTGGTATTGTCAAAAAGCCACGAGCAGTGATGGAATACAATGAAGCCAAGTCGTCGATTGACCAATCTGACCAAATGGCAAGCTACCATCACCTGTAAGGAAGTCTCTAAAGTGGTATCGAAAACTTGCCATTGAGTTCCTCTTGGGCACAGCGCTTGTAAATGCACACATAGTTTATAATCTGCTAGCAAACAAAAATTGAAGATTCCAGAATTTAGAGAAGAAGTAATTAGGTCTCTTTTTACGGATCACGGCGATGCAGGGGAACTTGATGTACGTCAGGAAAAAATAACCAAGAAGACAGCCAAAATCCATACATTGTGCAGGAAAGAAGGTCAATTTGACAAAGTGAGAAAGTACTGTAAAGGGTGTTATGCCAAGAAATTGCGAGGAGAAATAACTAAAAACTGCGTGAAGAAAGTTGTAACTTTCTGTGGAGTGTGTGACGATCAGCCACATTTTTGTCTGAACTGTTTCAATACCACTCATGCAAAGTAAAATGAACCGTTATTTTGTTTATACAAGTGAATCTAAGCTTTTTTGCCCTATGTCTGTTACATTTTGTAGTGTGATTTGAGTTTGAACAATAAAAATGCATATGACAAATCTGGGTAACTTTTTTCATCAAATCAAACAGATATACATAAATTCGGATCAATACCCTAGGCCCGTATGCCATAGCGGTCGAATTGCTCGCTTATACTGATTCTGAGTTCGACCGCTGGCACGCAGAGAATATAAACGTAGCACCGTACGATAGCGGTCGTATACGACCGCCGTGGCAGAATAGGATACATATTGAGCGGTCGTCCGCGCCCGCCGTGGCAGTGAACCTGTTAATCCCAATACTTTTCATATAATGACATTTGGGAATTAACTTTCAGAAACATAATTTTTCTTTTCATTATGTTGTATTTTCTAGGTTAGAAAAAACCTATGACATTGACTTAACATCACAAAACAAAAAACATTTACACTGAAAAAGGAACAGTCCCGTGCTGTCCATAGGCGAACACGATTGATTTATGGCTAGAGATGATCGATATATCGGTACCGGCGACCTTTCCCGGTGACTTCAATGGTCGCCGTTAGTCCCGGCGACCTGATTCTCCATGAAGCAGCGACCCAGATCGCTGTTTGGAAGTATCGGTAACTACTGATCGGTAGCTGTAACGCTGTTTCGGTCGCGGTCGCTGCCAGGAAGCATATACACATCACGTTCGCGATCATCGCGCGGGAAGTACAGGGTCGCTACGGCGTAGCCTAACCTATTTTGTTAGTTTTTATTGTTATTGTTGTGAGTTCCTGTTTCATAGAAAAATGTTTCGTTTATTAAGCAATGTTTAACATATAAAAGAAGCATTTTTATACTACATTGTTATGTTTTAAAGTTTTATTTTGACTGGTAAAACAGTATTTTGTTTCCTTTTAAGATTCATAGAAAGATATTTTATGTATTTTTATGATTTTATGTGTTTTGTGCTCAATATTGTTAAAAACAAAAACCTTAAATATAGTTTAATTCAAATCTTCAGGAACCTGAACATCTACACCTCGTTAATATCAATGGATAACAGCCGCCAAATATCGAGTAATGTAATCAGCGCCAGGGAGTCGCTGGCTGCTGGCAGCGACCATAGATAAGCAGTGACCTAAAGCGCTGCTAAATCTACCGGCGACTTTAAGGTCGCTGTCACCGATATCCCGGCGACTTCCAAGTCGCTGCTAATATCATCTCTATTTATGGCAGTCAAGCGCTATTTTTTTGGCACGTCACGTGATTGCCAGATATATAAGCAACGTTAAGTCTGAGCTTATTATACAATTTTATAGAGGACATTAATACTGTATGCAAGATTTTATAACGCCATCTGTGTTATTAACGACAGATGCGACGTTGCCGGCTCCGCACATAAATCTGAGTATGTTATAAAATTTTATAGATGGTATTTTTAATGCTATATGGAAGATTTTATAACGCCATGTTAACTGACAACTCACAACAGATAATGTCAGATGTCAGATACCAGGTACCAGATAAGAGATAACAGATCAAAGGTGATAAAGGATAGATAATGATTAGAGATAGGGATAAAGTATATCATTAACATTGCATTAGCATACCAGCAACTGCGCTACGTGAGGTTTTAAATAAAGACATCAACATACAATATTTTGCATAGCGTTAGCATGCCAGCAACTGCGCTAGTCGACTATATTAAGCGGTGGTCGATTGTTTTTCGTAGAAGGCCACGTGACGCTAGAGATTCAGGCCGTGCGACGTCGACGCGGTTTTTCCGGTTTTTTTTCCCGGTTCGCGAAACGTTCGCAAGGAAAGAGGTACCTTTTCGGAAAGTAGAAACTCGACGCTTTACCGGGGAGCGGGAACCGTCGCGGTGAGAGGAACGGATCGGATCGAAAACGGCCGGTAAAGTCGAAAAATCGACCGTTTGTCGGGCGGTACGCGGCGTTATTTCACACTCGTTTCGCCGTTTATCGAAATATCGACTCGAGATCGGTCTCGTTCGATAGCTAAACGAGAAATACGTGCCTATCAGCTGAATCCGTTCGGTTCCGCGTCTCGGTTTTTTTTCTAGGAATGTTCGAAAAAAAAGCGACAAAATGACGAATCGCCCGGAAAACTACGATATCTCCCTTATGCCGAAGAGAAAAGGAATTTCGCGCGCCGCGTTTCGTACATCTCGGCGAGCGCTACAAATTACGCGGAGAGACGTTTTTTCGTTTACGGTACCCGTTTCGAATAAACGAAGCTCGAACGTCGTCAAGAATGACTTTTTGCGTATAAAGCACGCTGCTTCGCCGTCGATCAGACATCTCCTCCGAAGATAAAGGAGCTACGAACCTGACGATTTTTGCGTGAGAAAGCCCGGACATCGGACACAAAGATAGCGTCTTTGTTTTTCCTTTATCCCTTGTCGTTCGAAAGTTTCGATTTTTCAAAAATTGCCCGACAACACGCTACATTTCGATGCGTGTAAAAGTTATTTTGTCATCCGGCTCTGTCTTCGCCTATTACTACCGTACGTGAGCGAGTAAAAATTATACAGCTATCGAAAAATACGATAATGAGCTGACGAAACGATTCTGACCGTCAGAATTACCGTCAAATTTCGAAAAAGTAAACTTTGAGCGCCTCAAAAGTACCGATGACAACCGTTTTTCGGCGTACTTGTCTTCGTCGATACGGACCTGCGTTACGGAGCGACATGGCTACGATTTTTTTTCGCAAAACGAAAGACCAAAGTCTCCTGATTAAACCGACATACGACACGTTACCCGATCGCATTTTTTAAACACGGCTGATTACAAAATTCAAAGATATGTACACATTTTTAGTTTGACGTTTCAATTTTGAATTTCCGCTCCAGATCCCCGGATTCCTGTTAGGCGGGGTATTGTAGATACGATCGTATTACGAAAGTGAGCGCGTGCGAGCGGAACGTCCGAAACGTGCTGTTTTCGGCTTTATGTCGGTCGCTTCATCGAATATAGGATCACGCCGAATACCATTGTCCTTTTTTACGCGTGAAAATCAACATTTTCGAAAAGATTCAAAATTTCTATATTCCATTGTCTAAACGGACCGGACTATAGCCATTAAAATCGTATGAATCTAGTAGTTTTTTATGTTTACAGATTGCGATGTTTACCGCCAGAGGCTGCAATTATTCTTTGACGTTTATCAGTTTATTGAAATCATCATCGGTTTATAAATACGATAAAAATATGATTGTAAGCCCCTATTCATGTTATAATTTTACAATATGTCATAAAGCTCCGCTTTTCCAACCGATTGATATAAAGCATATGTCTGATTGCATCACCTCCTATTTCTAACCTACAAAGTATGAATGTAAACATTATCGAAATCTTAATAATGAGGCTCCCGTTAATAAGGATTAATTAGAAGCTTAGAACAAGCAATCACAACTACACATAGTGAAAGTGTTGTGAAGTGTTTACAGTGTATGTATTTCTATGGCAAACGTAAGTAGTCT